GATAATAACAACAATAGCAACCAACAAATTGGTTCTTGTCATAAAAGAAATTATAGTTTTCAATTCTCCGAAGATATTTATACTGTCTCATAAATTATTATTACAAAATATTTTTATTCCAACTCGTAAAAAAAAAATAATTCGTTGTTTTCGTAAAAAACAATTTAATTCGATTTTTTTTCCATTTTATAAAAAGTTTTGTAAATACAATGTTATTATTTATTTATTTTTTACATAATATAATTTTTTCTTTTTTTTTTTCTTTTTCAATTCTTCATAATATTTTATCAATAATCATATTCTCGTTGATTATTCGATATAAAAATTTTTTTTTTCGCATTTTCTTTTCATGGCATTTGGCAAACAAAAATAAAAATCGGCAAAAAATAAAATTATAAACAAATATAACGATGGCTCCTTTTATTATTAAATACAAACGAATGAATGACATTAAATATTATTATTAAATAATAATACATTTACAAATATTCATTGAAAGCGCCTCAATTTTCCAACTCAATATCAACATGCTCTTCAATTCAATCATTACCAATCTCCCTGCCAGGACAATCCTCAATCCGTCACCAAAACCATTAAACTATGTTCCTTGATGGTTCTATCAGATCCACGGAAACGATCAAGGTTAAAAGCTTTGGCATCTTTCCAATCGGCCTCATTCTGTTGTATTGCAACTGTAAATCTTGTATTGGGTGGTCATACGTACCCACCAACTTGTTCCGGCTAACATCACTAGGTAAAATACGTCCAACTTCTTGAATCATTGCTTCGCAGTATTCTAACTTGTTAACGGTTTCCACGGACAATTGTCCGTTATTATTGTCGTTTAAGTCTTCGTCATCATCAAATTTATTGTTGGTAAAAGTACTTTTGCTATTTTTTCTCTCCCTGGTGTATTAATGGTCAGCATTGAGGTTAAGATATCATAGTTTAATTCTTTATATAAAGGGTATTGCTTCGATATCTCTCCACATTTCTCTAGAATGGTTCCATCCAATTTGTTGGCCATTTTTTATTTAAACTTTTAATAAAGATTTTTTCGTAAACATTTGGGTAGCTCTAATCATTTCTCTAAAGGACTTAACAAATTTTCTCGGATTCTTTCCATTTTTCTAAACTAGCCTTACCATTATTATTCAACAATGATCCCGCGTTGATTTTATAATTATTATTAGTAGGTTTTGTTTTTGTTTTTGTTTTTCTTTTAATAATATATAATATGATTCTGCTATGTAAGAATTTGTGCTAGTTGTGACATTAATAATCAAATCTACCGATACTCTTTGAAACCAAGCTGCTAGCTAAATCAATCACTTTCTCTTCTTTACTACTAACGCGATCGTCGTCATAAACAATAAAATCCTTCCAAAGAGTATCCATTTTGACAAAATAATTATAAACGGCAGCCATAACAACCTCATCAAAACTTTTATGTCAATAAAAATTTTGTCGATTGAATTTCCAAGCTTTCGTCAAGTTGTTAAATATTAATCCACGATTCAAAGACCTAAATCTTTCAATCCGCTCTCGTCCTCCAAAATCGCCTAAAGTAATTGTTTTTTTTTTTGGTCGTGTAGAGAAACATGTTGTCAAATTATTTGAGATTGCCAATTACCACCTCTCTATTTGGATTTCATACAAGTCGCCATATTTCTCGCTACAATCGAGAAAAATTTTGAGATGTCAAATCGATGTTGGAATATTATTGTGGCATAGTGCCGAATATTGGGAATAGGAAGGTCCGGCATCTGTTAGTGTCATTGTAGTAAGATTGGACAATATATAAAATAATTGTCATAGCAATTATTGGTATGAGCGTAAACATTTTTTGATTAAAAATTTACTTTTTTTAGAAAAAAAATTTAAATAAAAGAATGAATTGGTGAAAAAAAATAAATTAAAATTTCTTTTTCTGTAAAATATGCATGGATCTACGTTATTTATTTTTATGTCATTCTGAAAATAATAACAAATCATCAAAAATGAATTCTTCCATTTCTAAAAGTTTTTAATTAGTACTATTTTTAGTATCTCACTACTTCAAATCGGTTAATCACCAATCAATCACCTTCAGTTGGCAAGCAAATTGTTCTTAAATGTGAATAATGAAAACAAATCTCCAGAAGAACTAAAATATAGACTCTAAATTTCTTTCTTTAAGCCTTTAATAATTATGGCTATAATAATATTATTTGTTATATACTGTTTATTGATTATTTTTATCCTTCTATAAATTTTGGAAAATATTTATTTCGAAAATTTTTTTGTCATTTGGTTAGATAATTTTTCTCTATTTCTAATTTTCAAACAAAAAAATTTACTTTGAATGTTATTATCATGCTGATTCTTAAACATAAAGAAAAAATACAAGGTAAGCTTTGGCCTATTTTTATTGTTTCCATAATCTTGAAACAAGAACTGATCTACATGACTCGGGAATTTCAATTAACCAAGAAAAAAATCAATTCATAACATCTACGCACGTCACCTTTGCAATAAAATTTAAGCAATAGAATCATTAGTTGTTGTTTTTAAACAATACATTGAAATAACGATTTTGTCAAATAGTACTAGAGTTTTTACCTGCAACATGTACATACTCATCTTCAAAACCTTCATCAACTAATTTATCAATTGATGATTTCATTGTCTTCCACAATGAAATCAAATCTTCATGTATTGCTTTGGTGGTGTATATGCAATATGCGCACTGTGCATAAAAAAAATTACTTTGTCAGTTAGTTCTTCTATTGGTACTTCATCATCAATGTAAATAAAATGTTCTGCAGTGATTGGATCTTGCATCAATTGAATCTTGTAATTCAGAAATTTGATTTTAAACTTAACGCTTCAGTATTAGATAGGATTCTGTCTTTCTCCAACAATGTTTGATTAAATTAAAATCACATTATTTCCATTATAACAAACATAATTTATAATGTATGTTCTGTATAAAGTCCATCATACACAATAAAGAGATTTATAAAGAAGTCCGTCATAACGAACAAATGTTATTATAAAGAGAATTGGGGAGATAAAAAAAAGTCCATTATATATAGACAAAATACATTATAATGGGATCCATTATAACGAGCTTTGGCTGTACAATTAAAATAAAAATCATCAAACAGGAAAAAAATCCCGTTATTGTTTCAAGTAAGCAAGTGATGATTTTTTATAATTTAATTGATTTTTCTTCTAAAATCAAATATTGAGTAAAAAAGTTAGGCTGTCTGTATTTTAGATTTTTTTTTTCTTCACAATTGATGGATGAAGTTGGTTTAACAGTTGGATTATGTATCATTTTACTTGTATATTTGTTAAGCTCATTATGGCTCTTATCTATTTAATATTTGTTTAGAAGTTAGCTATGAGCAATAACATTTTGCAATTGTGAAAGTCTAAAAAAAATTTATCAATACAGTTCCCACCATACATATTAGCCAAAATTAATTCTATTAGTAAATGATCATGACAAATTCAAAATGCCAAAATAGCTTTTCATAATAGCTGAACTTAATTTTAATAGTGACCAAAATTGTATCCAATAGCCAAAATTCTGGGTAGTTTTTTTATGATAATTAATATAGAGAATATGGAAAAGAATGTGGCCAAAATATACAATTTTTGGAATTCTTGAAATTTAAATCCAATAAATTTCGTGCATACATAAAAAAAGCCTTTTTCTGTATTCAAAAATTATAAATGAGTCAAGCTAATTGTTAAAATACTTATTATGATCTGATCCGATCTGGTTCTGTTCTGACTTGGAGTCTGAAACCTGATTCGAAATATCTTATAATAATAAAAATTGTTATTTTATGAATTAAAGAAACTACTCATGAATTAAGTAAGACTTTACGAAATTTTAATAAACACCCATCCTCCTTCACTTCAAAGAAGGAAAAGGCTACGATGAGGTTTAATAAAAGTAAGTCATTCTGATTTTGACATCTTTATTAATTATAATCCAGCAATAATCTCTCAAAGCAAGGAAAATTTCTGACAAGTCTTTGGATACCCTTGTGGTGGGAAAGTTCAGGGAGAAAACGTTTATTACAAAATCGGTAATCTCAAAATGAAAATAAAGAAAAAGAAAAAGTTGATGTAAGTTTATTTGATTATAATAGCGGTTGCAACTTTAGTATTCAGTATTATAGCTATGATTATTTATTACATTTCTAAAAAAAACTAAAAAGATAGATAATTTGCTATTTTACCTTGAAAAGATTTCCCCAATTTATGTTATCATAAGGTTTTTTCCATATTATTTTCTTCTTCCACTTTTTATTAAGCAATCGATTAGCTTCATTCTGTGTTCTTTTCCTATTGTTTATTATTTTTCTTTCCTCTTGTCAGTAAACTTCATAGGTAATTATTTCTTTCCTTAGATAATCTTCAAGTGCTTGAGTTTCAGTCAATTTAAATATGTAATGTTCTATTTTCTCATCTTGTTCTCTTTTTAAAATTGGGTTCCATGATGGTCAATATCTAATTAGCTTCATTTATAGATAATTTTGCAAATATATCTCCCAAAAGAAAAGTACTCGCCTAATCTGCACTTTTAGACTAATTATTCCATTTTTATCATATTGAAAATTAAAAAATTTAAAAAATGATAGTGGAGAAACGAAAATAAAACACATGGGCAAGAGACATTATAACATTACATACCAATATAATTGTGGTGGGTCTAATTTATCCAAATACATTATGTTGCATGATCGATGGATGTTAAACGCGTTTTACAATTTAACTTCTCGTTTTTTTTTTTTTTTTTTTTAATATTAAACCATACTATAAAATCATAAAAAGCAATATTAATCAATAAGCCTGATTTTTGCAATATATATTGTAATTATGAAGAAATTGATTGCACAGCCATGATATTGTGGCAAAGGTTAAAAAAAAAAATTTCGTTATATTTCTTGACGAAGTGGAAAAATTTTCTTAAATCTTTTAATTTCAATTAATCACAAAAAATGATTTTAATGACATTGAAATGCCTTAGATCTGGTGGAATAACATTTTTTGGTGGTGTGTCAGTTTTAGTTGCTACAATGATTGGACCAGGTCTAATTACAAGTGCGTATATAAATAATTTACAAATGTAAATTATATAGCATTTTTGAAAATATTTATCTTAAAATTAATTATTATTGTTATTATTTGATGAATATGTGGATAATAAATATAGTTCCATTATTGTTTCAATCAGCTGGATGGTTAACGTAAGTCATCAATTAATTAATCATACATTGATTATATAAATATATCATATAAATATATCATATAAATGACATGACATTGCTTGTTAGATCAATCTTAATGTTTATATTGGCAATATTTTTATCAACTACTGCTTCACTTGTATTATGTGAAGTGTTAAGTTCCATACCTGGTAACGAAAAATTTCAGGTAAATTGCAAAGCTAATAATACCTCAACATTTCCATCCATTTACTGATTATCCATTTATCTATCATTCTCCAAATTCTATATATAAAATAATTGTAGAAAAAAATTGAATATATACAATTATCAAATATTCTAATCAAGAATAAAATAATTTGTTCAATAATTCAAATAATAATTTTCTTGTCAATTGAATCAATCATCATCACTTCAATAATAATCTCGTCGCAGTCTCTTGATAAAATGTTTATAAAATTCGCAGGGAAAAGTTGTGGCATTGAATTGTATCCAAATTTGTTCAAGGCTATTTGTGTTAATGAGTTGACTTCCGAACAGAACAGTCCGTTCGGATCAAATTATATGTTGGTTACTTTTGGATTATTGGTAAGTGGACGGGGGATTTTTTTAATAATTTGAGTTGGATGGGGAGTTTTTTTTTTTTTTGTGGATATAGGAACTTATCGATATTATTTATGTAGTTAACATTTGGATTTGTTATACCAATGACATTATCAAGTTTATCTGAAAATGCCAAAGTACAAATATGTAATGATTTTATTTTAGTTAATTTACTTGTTTACTTTTGGAAAATACTTATTACATATATTTTTTTTTATTATAGTGGCAATAATATTATTATTTATAATTATGATTATATGGATAGTGGTATTTATTGTTAATGGATTAAATCATAATAATGTTCCATTAATTGGTAAAGATCAGTCTCAACTAGTTGGTACTATATTATTCAATTATGCATTTATTGTCTTTATACCAAGCTTAGTTAATGAACTGGTTAGTGTTGGTTCATTCTATAATTTTAGTTTTTTAGAGTATTATTTTGAACATAATTTACTAATTTAAAAAGTTTTCTTATCTCCAAATTTCCACCACCAAATAATCAGAACAGAGACGTTTCAATTCATAAAACAATAATATGCTCTGTACTATTTACATCATTATCATATATACTAATTGGAATAATGGGTTCATTGGCATTTGGAAAAATGAACCAGAACTCGAACATCATCAAGGAAATCCAAGATAATGATAATGAAAAATTGAAAAAAAATATTTTTATTGAAATCACAACTTATCTGTTCCCAATTGTTGGTCTATTAACTGCTATTCCTGTTGATGCCATCATCATAAAATACAATTTAATTGAATCTGGGATATGTAATAATAGTAAGTTTTTTTTTTCAATTAGTGAAGAAACTCTATTTATGTTTTATTATTTTGTCAATTATAAATAACTGGTGATATTATTCCTACACGTTCGTCCCGCCTATTTTACCACAGTAATATCTTCAATACTTTCGACATTATTTAGATGGCTAGTGGTTATACCATTTCAAACTGGTATCTGGCTAAATATACTTATTAATTGGTCAAGTTTATTATTTATTAGTACAGCAAATTTTATTATACCATTTATATTATATTATAAAAGTTATAATTTAAAAAGATATTCTTCAAGAATAACATTTTCTTTGCCTTCTCCTTCTACAACAACTTCTACAACAACTTCAAGTAATGATAATAACGAATTAGGATTATCATCAAAGTTAAAAGAAACTAATATGAATTTAGAGAGTTCAGATATTGGAAGAAAAAAACGTTTAAAAAGATTTAAACATATGTCTTCTGATGCCATTCTATTGGATAAAATACCTGATTTTGTCACAAATAATGAAGATAATAATGACGAGGAAATATTGAATGAAAAAAGCTCATCACCGCCAGAATTACAGCAATCGCCGCAATCGCCACAATCACCACAATCACCACAATCACCACAGTTACCCTCAATAATTAGAAAAAATTCTTCGGGCGATAATTATGAAGAGTTATCTTCCTCGACAGTGTTTCATTCTTTATCAACAACAAATAGCAGTAGTCACGAAGAAGATGAAGAAATTATAAATTTTTTTAGTTCATTAACAAAACCATTTATTGCTTTTCCTTTCCTATTTTCTTCTTCTTCATATTTTACAACAAACAAAAAAATTAATTATAATATGAAAAGAAAAAAATATACTTTTTATATTGTTCTCTTCTCATTGATTTCAAGTGTGATTTTAGTTGGTAGTATAATAATTTATAATATTATCCTTTTATCCAAAAGTTAATAAATTGTAAAAAAAAATTTTTTTTGTAAATTATAAATAAATAAAATATTGATTAGTAACGTGCCAATTTAATTGTTTCCTTTATCAAAATATAGAGTATGTGTGCTTTTATCTTCTTTGATATCAAATGTCAGCTGATAATTAGTACACCAGTCTTAACATTCTGCAGTTGGTCCAGATACCAACTTTACTTCCTCGTGGCAGATAGATCTGATATATCCGCCATCTCCAATGCATACATGTTGCTTTATCAAATTTGTTGCACAAGTAAAAAAAAATATATGGTTTTTTTATAGTCATTGAAATTCCAAACATGGATGGCGGGTTATCCATTTACCTGTTGATATATTCCATCAGGAAATTTTTCACACCATAATGTCACTCTCATAAAATTATGTAATATTCGCACTGAATGTAAAAATCTGCATCGGAAAACTCCCTGATGATCGGATACCAACTTTCCTTCATTGTGACTGATGGATCCGCCATCCTAGAATAGAGTCATCCAACAACTTTGTTAAATCATTTAAAAGTTTACCAGGACAAATGATAATTCGTAAAATGTTTTCTTGGCATTTTTAGTGTAGATTAATACTTAATGATAGTTTGTCTTTTTTTAGGATGTACTGTGGAAATGAATGGAAAAAAATAGCATTGGATAGAAGAACTAAAGAATAGAAAGGAAAAATGGTCATGAATAGTACCCGATGGAGAAATTAAAAAAGGGATTCTTCACCTTTACCCTCTTCATCTTTGTGGATTTCAAATAAATAATCTGATATATTCAAACAAAAAATTCGAGACAAACAGGAAATGGAAAATCCAACTTACACCAATAATATCTGTATTTTTTTTATTTTGATTGCTTGAGGCTGGTTGTACTCGAACCAATTAGAAGGAATATCAATCATGCCCACAATGACCACTATTTACAATAAATTAATATAGTACCATGATGAATAAGAGGTATATGCAACTGGTGGAAAGTGAGATCCGGAACTCTGTAGGTCGCAACATGTAAAAACAAACAACATGCGATGACAAGTGTTGGTAGTTAATCGAGAGCATCATTCCCAAGGTGGGCACTCCGTTTTAATAAGCCAATCTAGCTCTTAGACGCATTATCGGTTTATTTAATTTACAAAAAAAGTATATGCCATACCATTGTAGTCAGATTTGTTTAGAAATTCTTTTAATTAACGAGTAGATTCTCATTTCCTCATTCTTTTCACAATAATTTATGAAATTTGTTTTTCACTAGTAAATATGGATGTATCATAACATCTATAAATAATTTAATGTATAACATTATGACATTATCAAACCTTATTAATTATCATATCAGTTAAACATCAGTTATATCTTTTATTAAGCATTTAGTTATTAAAAACAAAGGATTTTTTCACAATATTCATTATCATCAAAAATGTTATTAAAAAAACCAAATGATTTCATCAATGTTGCTGTGTTTTAAAGATAGAATTAATTGATAATGTTGATGAAAGAGAGAGATACTGCTAAACTAGTTTTTTTAAAAAATAATTATTTAATTCATTTCTGCACTATTTATTATTATTACTATCGCTGCTATTGTTGCTATAACTAATTATTGTAATTATTGTTATAACTATTATCATTAAACTATATCTGTCAATCTATTTATTTATCAATCGAGCTTTGGTGCAAGATAATATCTAAGATAACTATTATTACTTGAATTTAAAGTATATTCTACAAGCAATGGAGTATTTTCAGCCAAGTGTAATTTAACTTGATCAGATAATGGTGACCCTTTTGTAAAGCTCATTAAATATTTAAGTGAAAATTGAAGTGAAACTTCATTTGTAACGTTAATTTCGATATTTTCTTCTGGCTAATAATTAATAAATGTAGATAAATATTATAAATCCCCAAATAATTGAAAATTAAATAAAAACCAATTTACTTTATTTATGGAATCAACTGGCTTCAATTTGATACTACCATTGCCAAGATCTCCTTCTGTAATGAATTTGATTTCTCCTTTGTCAATATCAATTCTCACTATTATTTTTTTGAAACAAAATGAATTAGTTGATCAATTAAAATCATAATATAATAGTAATAGTAACAAATAATAAATTCACCAGTTTCACCGATAACCATCATATCGCGACAAATCCTTTGAAATTCTGCTGATGATAAAACTACTTCAGCGTCATACTCGGTTTCTGGAACACTCAAATGTTCCTGATTAATATTCATTAATTTCAATACATATTCACAAAATTTATCATTTGCTGTTATTAATCATCAAATAAATAAATTAATAATGATGATAATAAATAATTTTCTTTTCTTATTAAATAATTTTTTTCTTTTTCCTACTTGAGTTATCAAATGATAAAGTTAAAGTTTCAGGAAAATCTTCATTGGCTTTTAATGTAATGGCGTCATCATTTCCTGCACACTTCAATAACTTGTTAAAAGTAGTTAAATTTACACCCAAGGAAAATCCTCGATCACATCGATATGTAGAAAATATATCAGAATTTAGTAAAAGTGAAACCAAGGCTATATGTGAGTTGTCCATTGCTTGAAGTGCAATGCCAGCTTCGCTACAATCAAAATTTGCATCTGTAATAAGTTCTTTAATAGCTTCCGATAATTTTTTAAGTATTGTACCTCGGCTTAAATGTGCTTCAAACATCTTCTTTATTAGATAGAATCTTGTAGTATTATTAGTGAGTGAGTGAGTGAGTGAGTTGACTGACGCGATAAAACTTTCGTGAAACAAAAAAAATGAATTGCTTTTTAATAGAGGAATGATCGTCTATTGTTTCACGAAATTGAATGACAATCTGTATTTATTGAAAATACCATGAATGAATGATAGTGGCAGTTCATATCTAATTAAATGGAGAAACTAAAAAGTTCACTATTGCAAGATATCACTTATTATTATTATGTTACAATATTGCCACTATACTATTCCTGATCGCAATGATACTGTAATAGCATTGTTGTTGACGTTTGTCGTAGTTGCTGGAAACTACCTTTTGAACTGGATTAATAAGCACTTTGGATGGTATTGATGCATTGCCCCTGGATACACCCCATTTCTATTAGATAAGCCATGCCCAAAGGAAAACAACAACCCTTTTGCAAAAAATAGACAATGTTTACATTAGTCGCCCATAGTTTTTGTAAAGTGTACGACATACATACTTTTATTATTTTGATCAGGGCCACTGAAAATCAAACCATTTAATGCCACCATCGATATTCATTGATTGGCTTATTCAACAAGAAGAAAGTCATTTTCAATTAATAATTAATCGATTTAACAAATTAGGTTTTACCAATTTGATGACTGCTCATGAATAATACATCATGTTGGATAATAACTCTCCACCTACCAATTGTTCCTATACCACAAATCAATAAATAAAATCAAAAATACTATCATTATCTTCACCATCAACAACAACAATTTTATCATTGTATTCTAAGTTACCAATAAGAGAACACGATCGCCGTCACCATCAACAATTACTAGTGTATGGACTCATTCTTGCACAATCCACCAAACATTAACTATACTAATAATCATAATAATTTGATTCCTGATTCAATTATCTTGTCACACTAAACCCCACTTTTATAATTCAGTATCGTGTCTATATATAATAAGTATTAGCATCTGCTGGGTCAGAACTAGTAAAACCAATTCTGTAAAGCGTCATATTTACATCTAAGTGAACAGAATATATAATTGTATATCTATTTTAATCAACCACCTTTTACATTTTACTAAAAATGATAGAAAATCAATAAATAATAAAGAAAATTAATTAAACGATAGTTTTTTCTATTTTCTATTTTTAATATTAATTTTATAAAAAATAATGCCGCATTCGATTGAATAATTGTAAATTTTTGAGATGACCATAATTAGAAATTTGTGATTTTTTAAAATGTATATATATAAACACAACTGGAATATTAAAAAAAAAGAAAAAATCATAATCTTATACAAAAATTCTCAATTCAAAAAAAATCTAAATTTTTATTAAACTGGATTCCATTATTAAATTTTTAAAACGAAATAATACAACAACAAATAATAATTTAAATATGGCACATATTCAAAAGGCTACCTTCGCTGCTGGATGTTTCTGGTAGTTATTAAACATTACATTAATTGTGTTGATTCATGATACATTTTTAATCGAACCCTAATTGAATTTATATGAAATATTAGGGGAGTTGAACATATTTTTAAAAAGAATTTTGATGTAATTACTCGTGTTGGGTATATTGGTGGTAAAACTGATAAACCTTCTTATAAACAGGTAGGTAATTATTTATTATTTTGATAGTGGGAAATTTTATAATATTCAATGATTAATTGTCATCGATAAAATCAACTATATAGGTATGTAGTGGAAATACAGGACACGCAGAAGCAGTACAGATTGAATATGATTCAACCAAAATATCATATGAGACACTAGTAGAATTTTTCTACAAGACTCATGATCCAACAACTGCAAATAGTCAAGGTCCAGATGTTGGCAGTCAATACCGGTCAGCGATTTTTTATTATGATGATGACCAGAAAAATGTAGCCAAAGATGTAACACAGCGTCTCCAAGAAAAATTGAATGCTGCTAAAGAAAAAGCGGATAAAGAAGCTAAAAAAATAATAAATCCGCTAAAGTATTCAGGCTTTAAAATTGTCACGGAAATTGTTGAGGCTGGTAGGTTTTTTGATGCCGAATCATATCATCAACAATATCTTGATAAAAATCCTGGTGGTTACGAGGTAAATTGACAATAAATTGTTTTTTATTTGTATAAATCCATGTAGCTTATTAATATCTAACGTTTATTTTATTTTTTTATAGTGCCCAACTCATTTTGTAAGATGGTGATAATTCCAATTTTTTACAAATGTTTTCAAAATATATTTATTTAAATAAAATGTAATAAAATTTCTAATCATAATATAAACCTAAAATACATGCTAGTAATATAATTAAAAAATCTAAAGGATAATAATAAATACTAAAAAAGTTTTTTTAAATTTCTTATAATAAGTGTCACTATTATTAGTTAAAGTATCAGCAACACTCAAAATAGGAGAGTTGGCAATATCTTTATTTCTATTTGCAATCAAAACACTCTGTCTTTTCCATTACCTCCACTACTACTAAACCCACTTCTTTTATTGTTGTTGCTGTTATAACCACCACCACTAAAATCCTCATCTAAAATTTCCGGATGTTCTTGGATGCATCTTCCAAAAACTCTGTGTAAACTTTCGATCATCGGATCTTGATGCAATGTTATTGCACAATATTCTCTATTAATTCTTTCGATGGTTTTTGTTAATCTCAGTTGATTTTTTGGATTAATGAAATAATAATTGCTATTACGACTATAATCATTATTACTGTTATAGTTACTGTTGTAATAAATGTCATCGTCGTCATCACCATAATCAGATAGAAAATGTTGTCGTTGTAACATTAATTTTTGTTGAGTACGTGATATATTATTTCCATTATTATTTGGCGATGTTGAAAAATATTTTGATTTATGTGGGAAAGCTTGTGATTCTAACATTTCTTCCCCCTCCTCTTTATCATTATGTCTAATTGATCTATCATCATCATCATCATCATCATCATCGTCATCATCGTCATCATCAAATGTTGATAAAAAAGATGTTACATTATTATGATGTTGAAGATGATGAACATCTAAAGGTATTGTTGTTAATGAAGATGCAACTAATGTTATACCAGAAGAAGATCCAGCTGGTGATGACATCATTCTTGATTTATGATGATGATTAAGCGAATGATGTAGAAGAAGAGGGGGAAGATTATTGTTATTATAATGATTATGAAGTTGATGATGATGTTGTTGATTATTATTATTATGATTATGATTATCTGTTAAAGTTTTACTTGTTAGTAAAAAAGGATTTGAAGATCCTTGTTTTGACTTTGTTGATGTTGATTTTAATTTTGCTGATGATATTGTTGATGTGGCTTGATTAGTGTTAGCGTTATTATTATTGGTACTATTTTCAATAACGTTATTGACATCTTCATAATTCCTATTATTAGCGTTAGTATTAATATTACCACTAGCAGCAGTGATATTTGAAACTTTGCTACTACTGTTACTGCTGTTCTCTTTTTCTCTTTCTTCATTTTTAATTGACTTCTCTTGATTATTGTCATTATCTACCACTTTAGATTTTTCTATTCTCGAGTTTCTTCTATTGGATTTATTAATGTTAGTGTTAGCATTAGTGTCAATGTTAGTGTTTCTATTATTATTATCGTCATTATTACAGTTATTCAAGGTGTCATTATTTGAATTATTATTATTTCCGTTAATTTTGATGGGTGAATTATTATTAGATTTCATATCTGTATTTTTTTTATTTGATCAAGAAAGAAAAGTTTCTGTGATATTACATCATTCGTTCGATCAGTGATATTAAAAGATTAGATTAGATTAGATTTTATAATTTTATTTTTTTAATAAATTTATTTACAATGAATTGAGATTAAAAACAAAAAAAAACATTAATATTAGTAATTACTATATAGAAAGAAAATTATGTATATATATGATGTGTATATGAAGATATTTAAGAAAGAATTGTAAACCTCTATTCATTTTTTAACATTAGAGTCTCAATGCAGAAAACTAATATATTATCCGCTTACTGCTGTCGCTACTACCACACAATTTGGTAAATGAGGTTCACATTTAATATTCAAGTCATTGAATTGAAAGATATGATTCTATTGTAATTAATTCTCTCAAGAACCCATTGATGATGTTTCTTCACGCTTTGACACAAGATCGAATTCTCTTTCTGGCACTGATCAGGTTCAAGAAGAGAAATAAAAGCGTAGTTGAATGAATGCCTTAGACCAAAATATTTTACTAGATAGGATTTCTTCTCCTTTGTGTGTTAATTTTTATGATCAGGTTTATCCTTTGATAAACAAGATTTTCCATACCTAGAAGCGTGTTTCAAATTCAAAGGCAGCTGCAGTTTTTTGCATTCTTTTTTGGATATGGGCATCAGATTATTTTTTTGCATTCCCCCAGCCGAGCTCTAACAAGTTGATCCATCCTCTCAATTCTTTTTTCCTCGGTGTTTCTGATTGTAAGTAAGATTGTGGGAGTGTTAACATTTTCGTTGATATAACAACAAGCAAAAACCTTTTTAAAAAGAAAATTTATAATTTTATGAATCTTTTTATAATTGATTATCTAAGCTCTTGTGAGAAAGATTGATATCTCTAAACTAAAATATTTCACATTAACAAGTTCATAATTGTTGAACATGCCCAGCTATTGCTCAACAATCAAGAGATCCATTAGTATGCTTTGTTATATTCTTTCACACTATTGACACTACTATTTGCAATAATCTTTTGTCCATGACGGCTTCTTTTTTGATATATATAACATGCATCATGAATACCTATTTCCCATAAGATTATCATTATGAGAAGAGCCTGTCAGTGAATTTTTGCTATTTTGATCTTATCCACCAATCTCTCTTAATTAAAAAAGCATTGTTAATGGAAGAGCATCCTCTATTAAAACTATTGATTTACCGATCAATACAACCATTTTCAATGGTAAGTATGAAAGTTGCGTAAACTATTAAATAGTCACGTGCCACTTGAAAAATTGATCATCTGGTGGTTGTGCCAAATATATACTGACCTTTTTTAAACAGTTCTTTCTGATTTCTTTAAATATCGAAAATAGATAATAAAAAAAGCATTTAGAAAATTTTTTCACAAAGAAAATGTATGTAATTAATCGAATTTGGTAAATTAATCTTGATACTTAATCTAGAACTAGAGCTTAACTAATTGTTTGAAAGCATTGCCCTGATAACATTAGTGTTTTCCTTCATCTTTTCTCTAAGCCTATTGGACTTTTTTTTTAAAAAAAGTTAAAATGGAGCATATGTTTAGTCGTACCATATATTTGTTCGTAATGAATGGAGTAATTTAGTTGATGGCCATATTTCATCACTCAATAGAAATAACATAGACCCCCCCACATTGACACTATAATTATTTCAAGGTGATAAAGACAGTATTCACCTGAGTTGAGAAATTGTTCTCCAGTTTCTCTATTTTAATGAATTTTGTTTTGATTATTCTAATTTATTTGTTAATGGTGGTTTTGTGCTGAAGTGAAGACATTATTTCCACATGATGACTTTTATAATTATTGGTACAATATGTAAAAACAGTTGGCCGACTGACCAGCTTTCTTTACGTGTTGTTGATTCTAGTATTATCATATTAATACCTTTCGGATAGAGTCTTGATCATCAAAAAATTTTTTTTTGAGATAGTTAGTAGCATAAATCAATAAAATTGACCATTTTATTGGCTGTAGATTTTCAATTATTTTATAGGGTTGGAAATTAAGAGAAAGTAAATTTAAAATATCAAATGTAAAAAAAGAAATGTATATAATATCGTTAGAAGCTCACTTAAAGAAAGAAATCAATTCTAAACAAGTGTTTAACAAAGCAAAAACAAGGTTATTTGTCATAAAGTAATGACGATAAAAAATGCATTAGTGGGAAGTAATATGCAATAGATAGTAACAACAAGAAAAAATCTGTTGTTAGTAGTTATACACAAAGATGAGCCAATCTCAAGCAATAGGAGCGAGATTAACAAAAAGAAAACTGCTTGATAAGTATTTATTAATTAGTTAATTGATAAGTGCATTAATTGGATTCATATTTATTTATATTATTGCTAATGGTATAAATAGCTATTGCCTCAGGAAACCGTGCATCATAAAACCATTATTAAACGAGAGAATATAAACAAGAATTAGTTGTATGATATTTTATATGCATATACATATATACATTATTTATATATTTAATTTTATTTGATAAAGTATTATTGATATATATAAAGAATTAGTTGTTGTATGATATTTTTTATATGCATATACATATATACATTATATATATATTTAATTTTTATTTAATAAAGTATTATTATTATTTTTGTAAAAATAAGTGATTAAAAAGGAAAGAAAAATATTATTGATATATATATCAATCAATTAAGTAGTTTTCCTCTTATTAGCTGCTGCTCGTTTAGAAGTACTAGTAGTAGCGGCTGGCTTGGCTTTTCTAGTAGAACTAGTAGATTCTTTAGCAGTGGTGGCTTTTTTGGCTTTTGGTGCTGCTTTTTTAGGAGGTAATGCACCAGTAGAAGCTTTTTCAGTGGTTCTTTTAGTTGGAGCAGCTCTCTTGGTAGTCGTCTTCTATATAAAGTAAATATGATAATGGTGATGATGATGTTGATGATAAGTAAAGAAAAATAATACGTTGATATTAATCGTTAATGAATTAATTAATTGATAAATAACTGATTGATTACTTTATCAGATGCTTTGGCTTTGACGGGAACACTTTTTTCAATTTTTTTAGCAACAGGTTTATCTTTTTTCTCGACTTCTTTCTTTTCCTTTTCCTTTTTTACAAGTTTAAGAGTGCCACTAGGACCTTAATTAATTATAGTACATATATGTATGTAAATGATCCTGTTAAATGATTTTATTATTGTTGTTATTATTATTAAATACATCATCATGTCATCAATACATACCATTTGGGAAAGAGAAAATACCCTTTTCACAACCTTTAGTAATAGCCATACGAAGACGGCTGTTTGTAGTTGGATTATCAGGAAGATTATACGTATTCAAAATATATTTCTTGATTGCTTGGCGGCTGATATCATGATAATAATGATAATAATTTATAATAAATATATATATATATATAAACAGTTTATTTTATTTATTATATTTGTATGTATATATATACCTGCTTCCTTTTCGCTCTTTCAAGGCAACGATAGCATCTAAACATTATTATTAAATTATTATGACATTATTATTATTAACAATTAATACTATTTATTATCTTGTTGCCCTTTAACAGCCATTAAATTAAAATAAATAAGAATACCTTTAATCATATCAGCATATTTTGGGTGAGCAGGAGCACTAGAAACTTTCTTGCTTTTTGAAGCAGCACTTGCAGAACCTCTTGGCATTGTTGTTATATTTTAAAAAGCTTAAATGTGTGTAATAAAGTGAAAGACGAAGAACAGATTAAATATTAATATTATTTGTTTGTTGTTATTAGTTATTATGAAAATTTGCAAAAAAGAAAAGAAATGAGTAAGAGAAAGAACTGGTGTTTATATGAAAAAAATTATTTAAATATATTTATATATATAAAAATGTGTATACGTAATGATTATTTTATTTTATTACTAATATATATAATTGAATTTATTTTCCCAATTTTTTCATCAAAAATAAATTTCGTTGTTATTGTTTTTTCTTCTTTAAAAAAATATAGAAAAGATTGTGTAATACAAGGAATTCAAAACTTTTGATTTTTTGTTATTGTTATTGTTATTGTTATTGTTGTTGTTGTTGTTCGTCACTTTTTTGAGATGTAAGAACGTGTCATAGAAAAGATAGAAAAGAGTAATGATGATATGTTATGAATGATGATAATTATATATATGATTCACATGATGATTGCCATTTCTTGCCTTCTTTAAACTAAAGAATTTGATTAAAGCGAAAGAATTCATTCTAACAAATTATTTATTTGATTTAATTGGATAAAGTCTTTAATTTTCTTCTAATCTCTCTTATCTCTCTCTCAGAACCCCGAAACATGCAAAAACTGCCAAATTTGGAGAGGATTTTCATTAACCCGCCAATCACAGCGTGGCTCGAACCTTTATAATTTTGGGGTCCTCTTTCAACCATTAATATTATAGGACATTTTCGACTACCCATTTTGCGTAGCAATATTTTAAAAGTTCTCTTATCAACCAGCTATTATTATTATCATCATCATTATTTATTATATTATTATGCGCAAATCAGTGGGAAAATGGCAATGTAACATTGACACACATAATGAAATAATAATATGTGTAGGAGGGTGTATAATTTATGTAATTATGTGTGATCAAAATTTTCTTTTAACTCTTCACCCCCAAAAAAGTAGGCTTTTAATTAATTATTTGCTAAAAAATAATTTTGGGTTTTCGGTAAAGAAAAGAATAACGACGTTATAGGTATTCAAATTTTCTGAATAAAGATGATAATGGTGGATTCATAGCAAGTTATGTTGATGGTACGGTGCGGGTCACTCTAACACAATATATAATAATAATATATAAATTTTTTATTACCTCCAAATTAAGTAAAAGGATTTCCAAATTAGACAACTGAGCCCAGTCCAATGTTTCAAATTTGGGAAAATTTTATATGTATAAAAACGCATGATTTTTAAAAGCTAATAACCCAGAACCAATAATAAATATTTTCAGTTTTATTTTGATCATGAGAATTCAGGATATGATTAAACTTGTTCTTCGAGGTAACAGATGACTAACGTTAAAATCTCTCCCATTTGTCGATCACATTTGTGGCTAAATAATTTGACTCATCCCAAAAATTACATAATAACAATGTTAACCATTTTTCCATTTTATATTTTACCTTGTTACGATTTTATTACGAGGCATTACTTTAAACAGTTTGTGAACTATTCTCATAGACGTGACTTTAGGTTAATTTGGGTATCAGTACCTATACGTTTTTAATGGTAGATTTCTTATTTTATTGTTTTACAACAACTTTGCCATGATCTAATCCTTGGTTGGCAATAGGCTGAGATCAACAAGTTTGGTACCATTAATGTTACATCAAATCTCGGTATCGTTTTCATGACAGAAAATTTGGTCTGGGTCAAAACGTAAATAATCTGGGTGAAATCATGATTCCATACATAATAGGCAGGATTTCAAACAACTCAAGACAAACTAATTCACGTTATCCCCTCTATATCAAGGGATTCAACGAAATAAGATCTTCTTGATTATACTTGAACAACGCCACTGATTCTAATATATCATCACTGTCATTTGCTGATATAGGAGCCTTCATGCTGGAAAGAATGAAACCATAAAGAATTACTTTCATCAACACTTTTTTCGTTCCCTCTTCATCACTCCTCAATTACAGCCAGGGAATATATATACCAATTTTGGAATTTCTAAATACTGTGATATTCATTGTGTAATAATCATAATTGGCTATGAAGAAAATAGCCTTACAAGCCTACCAAGATTATTATAATTTGCAACTATTGATTTTTTTTTATTGCATATTACTAATAATAATAAAACAAAATAATGTATTCATATAATTTTTTCCATTTAAATATGGATATGCAATGATATTAATATGCTTCTTTTTCCGCAGTAAATAAATACTATTATTATAGAGCCAAGTAAAAAAATCAATGAATAAATGAATACAATGAATTATTATATATTTAAGTAAAGCATATTTTATACAGTTAAATAAAACATCGTTATTAACAATTCATTTGTGATGTCTTATACAAACGGAATAATTATAATAATAAAGTAAAAGATTCAGCTAAAATGTAACGGGAAATCCATTTCTATGTTTGGTATGTTTCCTTACTGAATTAACTAGTTGCAGCATATAAAAATTTGAATTGCGGCTAAAATAAATATTGTTTGTAGTAATTTCCTTTAAGACTTTTAAATTTCAAAAATACGATTAACTTGTGCTCCACATGTAATCAGTATTATATATGTACATTTACATTTGTTGAATGGTTTACTTGAATATATGAAGCGTGAATATAAGTATTAGTAATCGCAAAACTATATATTAAAAATGTGTGGTGATTGGACAAACTACCCTTCTTTCAGTTAACCATGTTTCTCAGTCCCCTCATTGAATCCCAAGTTATTTAGCAGAAAGAACAAATTTGGTAATATAATTGATATCAATACACTAGAATAAAAGCATATTCAATTATACACATTAAACTTTTCTTGCATTTTTCACCTCATCATAATCTTTGAAATATTCTAATTGCCAATTTCACATGTTCCACCTTTTGTTTATAACGCGATCATTACACCGTTGATTTGAGGTACGTAGTGATTAATACATTGTTTCAATGCCAATCCAAAAAGAACTTTATCAAAGCCGAGATCTTTGCATCAGAAAAATAAATCCTCATGTTTGTTTCCTTCGTAGAAGTTTTGCTTAATGGTTCAACTTTTTCATTATAACTTGACTTGAATAAAAACCAATTAGGCAATCACAAAAGTGGGCTGTCCCCACATTCAAGGCTGGTTATGACCTGCCAGTACTAGAGCAAGTCTGCAGTAGACGCTTCTATTGTGCTTAACAGAACTGTCAATATGTTAAAAGAAAAACTCAGAGTTGCCCAACTAGTTGAATAAAGAAAAAATATTAATGAAAAAAATTAAATATATAGATAATTGATAAAAAATGGAAGTTACTATTTTAGTGTTTACCAAATGTGTATGGTTGCAAAAAATAAAATATAAATAAATAAATAAAATACAAAAACTATTTTTTCATTTTATAACTTTTTTGTTTTTCATTCTCTCTTCTTTTAGAATAAATAAATCTAGTATATAATTGTAACAATTATAAACTATCATAATTTTAACTTTGTTGAATATATACATAAAAATGTTTGGCTTTTTATTTTATAAGCCTATACGGTAAGTACTTTCATCATATAATTCGTAAGCCAACTAACCAACTATTCATCAATTCACTATTTTTTCTCGTTCACTTTTACAGTAATTTCTTTGGATTCTTGTATCCAACATATGCGTCATTCAAAGCAATTAAAACAAATGATGTTAAAACTATAAAACTGTGGTTAATGTATTGGATCATAATGGCAATATTTACAATGTGGGAAGGATTTTTCGATAATTTTATATTCTGGTTTCCATTTTATTATGAAATTAAAATGTTTTTTATATTATGGTTGATTTTTCCTCGCTCGGAGGTAAATAATATTAATATATTCATATTATATATATTCCTAGATATTATTCCAATTAATGATATTCATTCATAGGGAGCAACGTTCTTATATAATAAATTCGTTGATCCAACATTAACGAATCACGAACAAGAGATTGATTCGGCTATTGGATTGGCACAAAAAGAGGCAACAAATAAAAGTATTGAATTGAGTAGACAAGGGTTAAGCACATTACAAAAAATTGCTTATGATGCTCTAATAAAAGGACAAAATTTACTTGGTAATCAAATTAATTTGGCAACAGTATTAAATAATGATAATAATGGTAATGTTGATGTTGGAAAGAATGGTATTAGTGATATTGGTAATAATATTAATAATGATAGTAATGATAATAGTAAGATCACGTCATTTTCCACATTATCATCGGCAGTATCAGTTGTTAGCACTTATCCAACAATTCCGTACAACGTCATCTACTCATATTTTGGTTCTTCTGCTGATGCAAAGAATAATCATGATGATGATGATGATGCATATCTTACATCAGAGAGTCTACTCCTACAACAACAACATTTAGAAAAAGAAATGGAAAGAATAGCTCTAAAACAGAAAGAAACAAAAGAAAAATTATTGTTATTGAATAACGATAATAATAAAGATTCATTGTTAAGGAGAAGACAATCACCAAGAAACAACCATGATAAGAGTAGTGGCAATAGTAGTAGTAAAAATAATAATAATAACGGTAATCATACAAATGTAACATTATATTCAAATCAGGGTAATATTAATACTAATAATAACACTCACAATAATAATAATGAAATTTCTGAAACTCGAGCATTTGGATTAGCAAATTATTTGGCGGGATATTTCTCTAAAGTAATTGCAACAACAACAACAGCAACAACTGAAAATAAAGTCACTACAAATTAAAATAATAATTCAATTTAAAATACATAAATTTTTTTTCTTTGTAAATAAATATTACGGTTAATTTATAAAATTTTATTTACAATGTATTCTTTTTATTTATATTTATATATAATTTATAATTTGTTATTGTCATTATAGCAACAACAACAATTATTATTCATAATACTAGAAGAGCATTCACCACCACCATCATCAACAACGGCCTTTTCCAATTCTAAAATTTCAATTTGAATTGATGATGAATTAGAAATAGATCTTTTAACTGATGAAGAAGAATTGTTATTATTAGTGGTGGTAGTGATGGTACACATGGATCTCAATTCAATAATATCATCACAATCATTATTGTGCAGATTATTATTGCTATGATTAGTGTTATTAGTATTAATATTATTATTGCTCTTAATTTTTTTAATTGGATCCTTTGTAAATATTGAAATTAGTTTTCTTATGATAAATGGTTTATTCCATTTCTTTTTATTCTTTTTATTCTTTGGTTGTTGTTGATCATTTATTTGTTGATTGTCATTATTACTTCCACCTTCCCTACCACCTACACTTTCATCTACTACACTTTTGCCATTTTCAATATTATTATTGCCACTATTAACATTATTTCCGCTATTAGCACTATTCATATCATCATCACCACCTACATCGGCTATATCACATCCTCTATTACTACTATCACCATCAGCTATAATATAATATTTCTCATTAAAAATATATTGAATAGCATTTGATACACTGCCAATATTAGTTGACAAGACATATAAATAATAAACCCAAATCGGATCATCGCTATTTGCAACCCCAAGTATAAATGGTAAAGTTGGCGTCCATTGGATCAAATAATTGAAAGTGTAAATTAGGATTTTACATGTTGCTGTCTTTTGTTGCTCGTTGTTGATTCCCCTTCTTCCTCCATTGACACTACTATCTGGTCGCTTGATTGTGAATATCATGTAAATTATTCTTGAATAACAAAATAGGCATAGTATTGCTGTAAATGAGATTAGCAATGATAGTAATATTGCTAGTGACCATTCACCAGGCGAAGTCCGACACCTTAGTTAAAATAAAATATGTGAAAATGAGAACGTGTGTGATGGGCACATACATACATATCAATAATTACCAATATTTTGATGGTCCATAAGAGGGTAAACCAATACAAGAAATTATCAATGCAGTAATTATTGTTATTAAATATATTCTACAAATAAAATAAATAGAATAATAAAATTAAAATTGCTTGTTTGTTTTAGATAAAAAAAAAATTAATAATATAAATTGTAAATTCTTTTACTTGTAATCGTATCTACCAGTGTCTAAATAAAGGCTCCTTATCACCTTTAAATATGTTTTTACAGCAACCACAGCAATCAAAGTAACACTAATAAAATATTCATAATAATAATATAACATTAATCACCATATATCTGATATATTTATACTCAAATAATAACAATAATACTGCTTACCTCATTGAAATAATGAATGTGTCAAAAAACCCATAAATTTTACAAGCCTTACCAGCCCAAGGAATACCAATTACCAGCGTACCAATAGCATTAGCAGAATACGATACAGCGGATAATGCGTTATTAATTGCTATGTACATTGGTAGACGTACCCCCATTGATAAATTTGAATTAAGTTTAACCCTTTGTAATGTTTGGTAAATGACGAAAAAGCTCGAAATTAAATTTATCTGAAGAAAAAATAATTTCGAGCGGAAAAATTAGATTGATTAATTAATTAATTTTTAAAGTTTAATTAATTGAGTTTATTTAAGGTTAATTTTAACTTACTTGCGTCATAATTAGTGCTATTATTATTATACAGTATAAATAAATAAATAATCGTTAATTTTTAATCGAAACTTTTTAATTTTTAAAAATAAAAAACCCACTTACAAAAATAAAGCAATAAATGACCTTGGTAATCATTTGGATTTACATTTGGATAATATTTTTTATATTCAATTAAAGCATCTTCATTTGAAATAAAAGAAGAAAAATCATGGGAAAAATTAATTAAAGAGAGAAAATTTTTCATCAAAATTAATTAACGGATAATAATAATAATAATAACGATAGATAAATGATTAATTTTATTTTCAAGAGTGAACGAACATTCATCAAAATGAAAAATAAAAAGGAACGCGCTTATGTAAAACATCTCATCAATCAAATATTTTATTATAAATCTTATTTACAATCGATAAAAATATTATTGTTTGATTGTTTTAATTTTTTTTTGCATATATTGCATAAATTAAAAAAGCACAGACCAGATCATTCATCTCCTTTTCATCAATTATTACTTAAACTTTAATAAGAAAGTCAGAAACAACAACAATATTATCAATAATAATAATAATGGTTTGATAAATAGAGTCTAATGATTATTTAAAACACGTTATTTACAAAAAACGGTAACACGCGCATGTAGAAATACCAATTAATTAATTAGTCAGACAGATGTTGTCACACAATAGTCGTTTAAGTTAGTATGATCGAAAATTTCCATATTTTTCTTGAATCCGATAAATTAAATTAGAATTGCATCAATCCTTAAAATTGAATTGGATTGGATCGGATTTGAGTTTGGATCGGATTTTACTATTAGTTATTTGATTGATTACTTTACGGTTCATTCACCAACCTTCTATTTTGTTTATCTGCAATAAATCATGATGATGGAGAGAAACATCCGTGATAGCAAATGTTTTTTGTTACTTTTAAATGCATACATATGTATGTATAATGTATGGCGGGCGGGAAACTACCAAAAAAATTCATACTTTTATGCATTTCGAAGGATTGGGTCTACAACCTTAGCAATAATATAATGGGAACAGAATGGTAGGAAGATATAATGATGCCCTTCCGATATTAAATATTTTCTTTATTATGTACAAGAGGTTTAGTTTTCTTTATGATAAAAAGAGTTCAGAACATCTTTTAGTCTAGTATAATAAAAACGTGCATGTGTGAAAAATTTTTTTTTAGAAACTAATTTACCAATTTTGTAAAAAATATTAAATAGACTAGAATTAGTGAATTAGAGTTGTTAAGATGAGAATGAGAATGTGCAAGTACGTGTGTATAATTGTACGTATAAATTGTATAATTACTTTAATAATAATAATAATAATAATAATAATAATATATTTGTATAAATTATTTTTTTTTTTATATTTAATATAAATAATAATTGAAAAATTTTTTTTTTATTTGTTAATAGTTGTTAGTATAAAGATAAATTAAGTATAATTGTATGTATTAGATAGTTAGTATTTTATTTTACTATATTACACGAGCCCAATCAATCAATTTAATAATATTAAATACTACATATTGTAAAAAAATATTTATATTTTTAAAAAATTATATATTTTGTTTGTTTCATAATTTTTATTATTAAAATATAAAAAAAAGTAAAGAAGAAAAGCAATTAATTAATGTTCAAAAAATACTACTAATTCCAAGAAATAAATTTTAAAGAGCCTAATTTCTTTGTCGTCTTCTTTTACAACTCGTAAAAATTAAAAAAAGATAAAAAATCCACAAAAATAGAAATACTTAAATAATTATTTTATACAGACAAACAGTAGACAGTACAAGAGAGAGAGAGAAACATATATCGATATATTATATTATTTTGTATAAATAATATAATAAAATAGTATGCGAGAGTTATTATTAGTTCGTAAATTAGAAGAAGAAAAGAAGAAAAAAAATCAAGAAAATGAATGTAATAGCGAAATAAATAATAATAATAGTGATAATAATAATAGTGATAGTAATAATGATGGTAATAATAGTAACGATAATGGAGAGGTAGAATCTTTAATTATTCAAAATAATAAAGAATTATCAGATACTAATAATAATAATGATAATAACAATATAGATAACTTAGAATCATCATCATCATCATCATCATCATCATCATCATCATCATCACCGTCATCATCACCGTCATCAATGTCTTCAATAACATCTTCGTCGTCTTCATCATCAATAAATGAACTTTCATCAGAAAATAACTTAGAAAATTCAAATAATAATAATAAAGAAGATGAAATAATAGAGTCTAAAGACAAAAATGAATCTAAAGATACAAGTAATATAGAAAGTATAAATAAATCTAAAGATACAAATAATATAGAAGATAATGAAAATGCAGAAGAAGAGGACGAAGGAAAATTAAAATTACAAACTAAAAGAGAAAGCATTAAAGAGTTCTTTTTACAAAAACAGCCTTATAATATTGGTAATGATGATAGTAATAGTAATGATAGTAATAGTAATGACAATAACGGTAATGGTAGTAATAGTAACGATAATAAAGATGAACCATCATTAATAAATTTAAATAATGAAAGGTAGGTAATAATAAACAAATTAATTGTTTTTTTGATGATGAAAAAATTACTAATAATTAAATTTTATTTATATTATTCAGTGAACTTAATTCAAAAGATGAAATTAATTTAAATGAACAATTAAATAATTCGCCATCTTCACCTTCAAGTTCAAATTCATCAAATTCATCAAATTCACTTTCACCGTCTCCTTCATCTTCAAATTCGTCAATATCACCATCACCAAATGAAGAATTAACACCAGATGAAAAACGTCAAAGAGCTGCTGCTGATCGTTCAAAACAAAGAATGGAACTAAAAAACCTTATGAAACAAAGAAAACTTAAAAATAATAATAATGATGATGATGAGATTATTATTTTAACACCTACCAAGAATCAAAATGATTCACAACAACCAACAATAACTATTAATAGTAAAGATGATAAAAAGTACGAGTTTTTTTAAAAATTAATGATTTTAATCAATCAATCAATCAATCAATCAATCAATCAATCAATAAATTAATTATAATTTTTTTCCTCCATATTAATTAGAAAATATAAAGATGGATTAATATCAGACATTGAATCAGATTGTTCGATAGATTTGGATGAATTGATTGCTCAAACAAGTGATTTAGATGCGGGTGGCGGTGTTAATCTAGGCGATGACGTTGACGATTTATGTGACGATAGTGAAGATTTTTGGAAAATCGATCCATCCGAGGTATAATATTTATTTATTTATTATAATACATATATATACATATCATTATTATTTTCTAAATATATATGCTAATATAAATAATTTTTTAATAGCTTGCTAGACATCTAACACCATCAACTACACCTTTACGTGGCCCATCGCCGAACTTTAATACAGCCAGGCCTGTTAGTATTATAGCTGAGGAAGAAGAAAGTCTAAGTGATACTCCACTTGAAATTGATAATCAAGAAGCCGATGACCTTTGGAAAACTTCAAATAACGAAGATAATATATTTGATGTAAGCGGCTTTAAAATATCTATATTCGCATTTTTAAAACTATTCGTTTATTTATTTTTCATGTTATAATCTCTAGCTGGAGTCAAAAGAAGTGGAGGATGAATTAGATTTATTGTTAGATACACAAATCACACCGATTCTGAGACCATGTCCATCACCATCACCAGCACCAACTCCACGTGCTTCATTAACAGGTGGTAAATCAGGAATCCCAGCTGGAATGTCAAAATCTGCATTTTTTGGTCATTTCGGCATATCTCCATTAACTCCATTATCACCTACATCATCACAAGCCTCATCGACAGCAGATCCGGATGAATTATTTGAAACAATGTCAAATGGATCTACTAGATCAGCAGCAAGCACTAGTTCAAGAGGCACAATAACTGGAAGTGGAACAAGGAAACCATCAAATACTTTGGGAATAAGAGCACCGAGTAGAATCGGTAAGCCTGGATCGAGTGCAAATAAATCAGATGCAGTATCACCATCATCATCATCATCACCATCGCCATCGTTATATTCTACTCGTCCAAGATCATTAAGTGGCATTAGTACCACTAGTAATAGTAGTACCATGACTGATGACAGCACTGTTTCATCAACTACACCTACTACATCAAGAATTGCATCACCTACTAATGCGAGAGGAGGACTAGCAATATATAATAATAAATTTCGTCAAAGATCTATTAGTGGAGGTTGTTCAGCTGACGAAGTACTACCAAGACCATCTTCATCTTTATCTATGAGTAAATCATCATCAACATCATCAAATTTTAGACCATTAAGTAGGGCTGGTACTACAAAGACTTCAATTAACTCGCCAACTGATTCATCGTCAAAAAAAATTCGTGCTAGCATGCAGCCTTCATCACCATCAAGGCCAACATCACCTACACTGTCTAGAACAGCAAATAATAATTCTAGACTTGGACTTAAACGTCCTCCTTCACAAATGACAGGTCTAGCCAGACCAAGTAGTAGGGCAGGAAATATTCCAAGTCCTCGTAACAACAACAACAACAACAATAGCAACAACAATACATCAAACAACACCAGAACGTTAAGTAGGCTTGGTAGACCTAGTTCAATAGCCATTACTAACACAGCATCATCTAAAAGTCACATCACTTCACCTAACAGTAATATTAGAACACCGTCATCTGCTGGATCAAATGCTAAAACAGCTAAAGGAATTGCACGTAAATTTAGTCTTCAAACAGATAGTATTTATGATGAACCTGATAATTATTGTTATAGTCCACCAGATTCTCCTCTTGGTGGATCAGAAACTGATTCTTTGAGATCTTTTACAAGTTCCATATCATACGGATCTTCTGTTGGTAGAGGCACATCACCTTCACCAATAAATAATTATAGTAACAGTAACAATAACAACAATAATAGCAATAATAGTAATATAAAGAGTAAAAATACCACCACCACTACTTCACCCACAAAATCTACTAGTAAAAAATCACCGACAACAGCAAATAGAATGTCAATGGCAACTTCAAGAAATTCAAAACTTCCTGCGCCTGGTAGCACGGTGCCATCTAAAATATCTTCAAATAGAAGAAAATAAATGATTTTTTTTTTAGATATGTATTTTTAATATTAATATTTTTTTTCTCATATTTTCTTTATTATTTTCATATTTACTTTTCATATTTTCAAAAAAAAATTTTTTTTTTTGAATTTATTTGTCATATCACACATTATTTTATTTATTTATTATTTTTTTTTTGTACATATTTTTAGAATGCGTGGTGTGTATGGTTTGGTGTTTACATTTATGTATTTTTTTAAAAAAAAAATTATCCTCAATTTATTATATTTAATAATTGTAATTGTATTGTATCCTTTGAATAAAACAATTTGAGTGTAATGGTGGCGGTGGCGGTGGTGGCAATTTTAAATAGATTTTAAAAAACAAGTGCTTTTATTATTATTACAGAGTAAAATAAAAATCGCTATTTATTACAAACAATTATCATCATTCATTATTTATCAATTTTTTTCCTTGTGTATATAGTTACATCCTCATTCTCATTTTTTTTTCTATTATTAAAATAAAATAATTTTCAAATTAATTTTATATGGGGCTATTGAAATAAATTTTATCATCTTGTCTGGTTTTATTTTATTTCGACTGATTTATGGTTAAATGCGTACTCATAAATCGTTTACGGTTTTTTTATCGTTACAAATTTTGAATGTCAATGTATAATTCAATGCCCGCAATGCTTGGGCTCAAATTTTTTTTTTGCGGTATGAATTTTGTGTAGCAGCATCCAGATTCACATGTTTTGTAAAAAATTTTATACCACTTTGGAGTGTGAACTGTTTTTTTTTCTTTTCTTCTGTGCTGCTGCTTTCTACTATTTCGGCTATTTTTCTTTTCGGCATTTAGAAAATAAAATAAAATAGAATTATATGGCTCAATTTTTGGGGGCTATCTTTAAAAGGCTTCAGGGTCCCATATAAATATGTAATTAAAAAAATAAAACTGTAATTTGATAGATAATAAAGTTATAGAAAAAATTTAAAATTTTTCCCGTGAAGTAAAGGTCCTTTTACATACAGTGCGGATCATCTATACTCAAAAGTTAAATTTTTTGAAATATTATGTGATCCACACATTGGATTTTAAAAAACCCACCACCATTCAATTCAGCTTTAAAAAGAGAGTCTATTAATCTAAAAAAAAATTTGTCTCAAATTTTCTTTTTCATTGATTTTTTAAATTTGAAAGTTATGCTCATAAGTGCAACAATAATTTTCGTGTTACAATATTTTGAATCTCGACCAAATTTGGTAATGATTTTCTTTTAATGTAATATTTTCGTTAAACTTTTTTGTTGTAAAGAACTTTTATTTATTTATTAATAAAAAATAAATCAAATGTATCTTGTAGAAAATATTTTATGAAAAAAAAAAGTTGTTACACGAAATTTACTTGGTCTCAATTTCTTAAGTATATAACAAATTCGGAATTTTCAAAATGCTAAGGCTCACCAATTTTCAGTTTTAAAAAAAACCAGACGATAAGTTTTGAAGCTTGAGTCATGAACAATAAAACTTATCGGTTAAATTTTTTAAAACGATATAATTTTTTTTTGTTTTAGTATTTTGAAGTTGACCAATTGTTACCATAAGCAATTAATGATTATAGATGATCTGTACCGTAATAATAAAACAGATTCCACGCGATCGACACGTCTGGCCCACTTCATCAAGCAACCTCGTAGCTCTGCTTTATTTCTTATATATAGTCATCCATCTTTTCCGATTCTCTTTTATTACAACAATAACACCTTCTACAACTTAAAAATTCCAATGGAATATTTCTTGAAATAGAATTGATATCACTTAATCAAATTTATAAAATGAATCAAGAATTTCCATATTTCCTCGGCATTAAGCACTTTACATACTAAACGGGCAACAAAACCAGACGAAGTGAACATGACACATTTTTAAATGCCACAATTGCAGAATTGCATTATCAATTTAACGTGATTGTGTCTCTTCCAAATAATTTATAGATTCATTCATAATTAACTTTGGTCAGAAACTTATTATATATTAACTATAATGGCTATTTTTGTTTGATATAACCACCAACTGTCATAAGGATCAATCAAAATATTTACATTGACTATAATAACAATTGAAAAAATTTCTATTAATGTGATTTCTAGCATTTAATTTTAAGATGAATGAATTTATTGTATTGTTTTACAATTATTGAGGCACGCCTAATTTATTTTGTATTTTGTAATAAAAATAGTAAAAAATCACTTTTTAACTAAACAACTTTTTTTCTATATTAAAAAAAACTTTTAGTAATGTTGTGCGTGAAAATGAAATCTATGTGAATTTGCAATTCACGCCAATCAGAATTTCATATCCAAACATCCATCCCAAAATTTTAATTATAAATTTTTTATAGACTAATATTAGCATATGATTACATAATAAAAACAATCTGGTAAAAAAGACAATAGACACATTAATAAATTATATTGATTTTAAGATAGATGATTCTTTATTAACAGAAAAGCAAATAAACTTGACCTGCTTTAGTTATATTCCATTGAAGTCAGTATTTTTTTTCTTTTTCAATTATACTATTAATTGTCAATGCTATTTATATCTCGGTTCATATAATTTTTTAGATTTTATGATGTAATATGTAATGACATGCTATTTTTTAGCAAATGTCAAGATTCAATGAAAGTGAAAATTAATGTTAATTTAGCAAAAAAAAATAAAATAACAGATGTGTATAAATAAATCGCAAGGGATGCTGGAAAAGAACGGGTATTCTGCAAAATAATGTAAAAAAATGAAAAGGACAGGTGAAAGGTGTTTGTGATAAATATAATTTTTAAGAAACGGGCGGCAAAGTTGGACTATTATAATTTCCATCTCTATTTATTTATCTAAAGTCTTGATCTTTATTTTTTTATTATACAATTGAGGCTAAACTCATGTAAAAATAAAATAATGAAGAATACAAATCATAATAGATAATAAATAAGCTAATTAAAATATATAATATAATCGGATACATGAAAAGGACAGGGGCGGGCAGGTGTGGTTTGAACCCGTCCCCCGTCCTTTTCATTGTGCATTATTATATTTATTATACAATATTAATGCCCGTCCTTTTTGCAGAGCACCTGTACCATTGCCATCCTTTTCTAGTGTGCGTGAAAATTAAATTTTGGGGTGGGCGTTTGAATACAAAATTCTGATTGGCTAATTTGAATTTCACGCGCGTGAATTTCGACGCGGATTCCAAAATTAAATTCATTAATTCAAAATTCGTAAAAAAATATGGATAAAATAATTATTGAATGTTCTTCAAAAAAAGAATTCAACCAACTTGGAATATATATATCTTGATGAAGTTGACATCAACAAGGTAATAACATAAACACACATAAACATTATATTTAATATTTCTTTCCAATGACCGGGTTCATAAATTTATAGATATTGAACTTAGTAAACACTCTGCTAAATGACAAATAATTTTTTGTAAAAGCGATGAATATGTATGTTGCTGCTATTTTTAAATGTATCTATTGTCAAAATTTTTTTTTGCTAATTAGAAATTCATCCAATCCTATGATGTTTTGATTAAAATTTAATTACAAAGCGTCAGTTATTGATGGTTATTTAGAAAACTATGAATTACGAGAATTGAGAAATAAAAGACATGTTATAATTATCAAAGAAATTATTAAATGGTATAATTAATTCATTGAACAATAAATAAAAATCATTGAAATTTTCTAATATTAAACAAATTTATAGGTTGTCAGGAAAGATGATGAAAATTCTCCATTGTTAGAAAGTACATTAAATGACTTGATGTCAATGTACATTAAAGAGGTTTAGAATTAATAAATTTACTATTTATTTTTTATTTTATATTTTGTGTTTCCTCTATTAATTAATTAATTAATCTTACTAAAAAAGATATTACTTAGTTCGCTCGATTTTCTGATCACAGTACAAATGCTTGTAGAATGCATCAATTGCATAATTCAAGCTATAGGAAGTTGTAGACCATTATCCAAAAAATTATTTGTATTTTTGCCAAATTTGATGTATATTTTAGAGTTTTGGACTGAAAATTTTGGTTCTTCCATCTGGTGAATCAATGACAATTCAGAATTATAAATATTATCTAATAAATAAAATATGTTGCTCTATATGGAACCCAAAAAACATTTTAAGCTTAACTGGTGAATTAAAAGATATTCAAATGTTAGATGATGGGGTAAACATTAATATATTAATCAATTAATTGTAATAATTATAATAACAATTATGAATAATTTTATTTATATCTTTTTTTTATATACCTAAATAAATATACAAAGTTGGAATTGGTGATTAACAAAATTCTGAGGCGGGATTTTTTTCTATATTAATTAATTATTTATATTTTTTGATAATATTTTATTTGTTTTAATTTTTTAGACAATTTGATTCAACAGAAATCAATGAGCTTTCATCATTAATTTCTCAATTGCTTTTATTATCAAGAAAGGTCAATAGGTGATATTGATTCACTTCTTTCTTGGAAAGTTTTTAACAATGTTTATGTGTGTTTATGTTATTACCTTGTTGATGTCAACTTCATCAAGATATATATATTCCAAGTTGGTTGAATTCTTTTTTTGAAGAACATTCAATAATTATTTTATCCATATTTTTTTACGAATTTTGAATTAATGAATTTAATTTTGGAATCCGCGTCGAAATTCACGCGCGTGAAATTCAAATTAGCCAATCAGA